CGTATGTATATGCACGGGTGCTTGTGTGTGGGAGAGTGGTAGGACTATACGAGTCAGGCATGTAATTCGTTTGAGTCACTCTCTGAGTATAGATATTGGCCTTTAGGGTTTTGAGGTGTGTGAGGGGGGGGGGGCGCGGGGGGTGGGGGGTTTCGAACTATGTATAGGCCTACCCTAGACCTCCAATAAATTTTGACCAAAAAATAAAATAAAATGTAGTGTGCAGGTACATGGGACTATAAATTCAGTATGTCCGTCTGATGTGCGCGCATGGGTTCGTGTGAATATAAATATACAGCTTTGAAATGAGTTAGTGAGTTTGGGAGCGGGGTTTGAAATTGTATAAGATTCACCACCCAGGGTTTTTTTGATTGGGTATGTATATATACTACCCCTAGACGTATACATACGTAGGATATATATATATATATATATATATATATGTGTGTGTGTGTGTAGTCAGACGCAGTAGTTGCCGATCTCAACCACACGATACAAAACGCTTAGAGGTACTCGTGCATACCCTGGGGCAGTTATTATGCACCTCTTTCTCGAGGACAGGTCAGGACTGGGCAGGGCGTGCCATTGGCTCGTGAAGTACCGAAATGCACCAGACAAGAAGCGCAATACCACAGGTAGGCTCCTACCTACACAATGTGCGTAGCTACCGGATACACACCTCCACACACATACATACCCTTCACATACATCAGACGCTTGCCCGTGCGCCTGTACCCCAGGTTCGGGTCTTCCGGGCCGGATTTGGCCTGTACACATCTATCGGCACTCGGTTCACTGGCTGGTGGACCCTCGCACTCTATATCATCCGACATGCCATCTGTCGCATAAGACTCATTTGCAGAGGGTTGCCTATAAGTCACATGCTTTCCAGTGGCGGTAGTCGCTTGCTCTTTCTCAACCTCGTTTATACTGCACGCCTTCAAAACCTGGTTTATACTGCCCGGGGTGTTTCGAACTGTCTCAACCCCCGCCCCTTTGTTCTGTGTGCCGCAGTAGTCTGTGGTGTGTGGCTGCCTCTCCTCACCAGACAACGTGACGGTGTTGCCGGATGCACTGACAGATGTTCCGGTGCCAGCCTGTTCCTTGGAGACGGATTCCAATTCCAATTCCCGTTGTGGGTGTGGGTGTGGGTGTGGTTGTGGGTGTGGGTGTGGATGTGAGTGTGGGTGTGAGTGTGAGTGTGAGTGCGTACTGGGTTCTTCTTGTGTCGACCCGTTTAATTGCACAGTGTCCGCTGAGGTGTTGGTATTCGGAGGTGACCTATGAAAAGTGGACAAATGCCGAGTTAAAACAGTTTACAATTTCTAATCAAGTCAGTTGGCAGAGCCCAGTCAGCCCTAAGCCTGAACGCTATACAACGGCACCTCTTGTATTAGAATGGGGTGGTCCGAGAAACATAGCTAAATACGAACTCAGTGAGATGTGTGTACCTGTTGTCTGTGCTGGTGCTTTGAAGGCTGTCGACAAACGCTTGTGTTTTGTACTGTCTCATCTCCATGTCCACTCTTGAATCCCTACTCAAGAGCATCCCTAGGAACGGCATAATGCATTATATAATCAGTGGTTCGTTTATTAATCGCATAATGAATTGCTCATTTGAGTATTCGTATATATCAATACATATGTTATTATATATATATATATATATATATATATATATTAATTGCACGAACAATAAAGACTCACTACGTTCCCACTGTACCCGACACTACCCGCCG